AAAGTGTTTAATAAGTAAATGTAGAGATAACGTCAACATTTTTTAATTACGTTATTTTAGATTCATTTTTTAAAAAAAATTTTTTTAGTTTCTTTTTTTAAGTTTTCCTTTCCCTCTGAGAAGTTAAAGATGCCACAAAGAGTTTTATGAAAGTTCCCAAATATAAAGATTTGAGTCTGATCGTTCGTTTCCACATCCGATGCGAGCATGAATAGTTGTTACAATCTTTTAACTGTTGAATTTTTGCTGTAGCAGTAAGTGTCTTAACGTATACCTTATATAAACTACACGATAATATATTCTATATTAATGTTTCTTAGATTTAAATTTAACATATATATCGGACAGACGTGTCTACGACAAATGTCGTCGCCTGTGTTCTCTTAAGTGCGGATTGAAATGCTCTCTTAAGTGTTCGTTGTTGAAATCTATGAAAGTCATCAGTTATTTACGTCATCGCCGAGATCTTATGAGAGAACGGGTTAAGTGTTTCAATGCGAAAATATTGACGATGACAATGTTGTTGCTTAAAACCAGTAGCATTTATTGAAAGTAAAACATCTTGAGCGGAATTCACTAGGATTTTGTTTGTATTTGTATAACTGTAATTATCATATTGTTTTTAGAAAAAACTGAATAGCATTAAAAAAATGTCATTGTATAATTGGACATTAGTAGGTTTTCTCTTTCGATATAATAGTTGCGAGGTGACGAAAAATTTGTCGAAGAATGTCCGGCCGGTCGTCTTAAAAATTAATACAATCTAAATGTGATAATATATTTGCTATTAAATTATGACATAACGATTATATTATAATTAACTAACACCGCGCGAAAACGTATGAAGAACAAAGAGAGTTAAGCAATTTTAAGAGTCCTATCGAACGATGATGATGTTACAAGGGTGATCTGAATATTCGCATTCGCAATGACATTTTTTTCTGTATTTGATCGGCTGAGCGAGTACAAAACGATTAGAAAATCGACATTGTCGAAATCTGATCGAAATTAACACGAAAACAAATATGTAACTTTTTATAAATTAATTCTTTGCGCCAATTTAATTTTTCTGTCATTTCTCTTCATGTCAAATTTTATTATTAAGTTTTAAAAATAATTGAAAACATAAATGACATTCCGTAATAAATGTAATTTCCATAATTTATATGTTCCCTGAATTATATGTATCAGTTTGTTTTCTCAATATCATTACATATTTCATCTGCATATGTTTAATTTATAAAGTTTGATCAATGACGCTCAAGCGCAAAGAATTAAAAGTGAACAAATCACATCACCCTTGTTAACTTCGGCAGGAATTCGAATAAAAGTGTGAAGCCGCGTTTTGCTTGCCAAAAAATAAAGACTCTTGCGCTCTACGCATAATATATACACACAAATATATAATTATATAAATGTACGTGTATGTGTGTGAGTGTGCCTAAAGATTTTTTCCTCGGATTAATCTCTTAAACTTTCTATGTCATTATCTTTCTCTCTCTCTCTCTCTCTCTCTCTCTCTCTCTCTGTCTCTTTATCCTGTATCCTCTCAAATCACATGTTGCAGTCGTAAACGATTTCGAAAAACTATTATTGTAGTTTGACGATTTCGAATTACATGGCAGATTCACGATGCCTCGTATCCGTCGCCATGTGCCCGGATTAATGATTAAAATCCTCTTATCGATATACATAATATTAATTTTCAATTTGATATGATACTTCGTCCGTTAGGACTGTAATAATCTGTAATACATACAAATATTACAGAATTGAAAGCTATTCCAGTTGCATGACTTGAAAATTCATTATTATTTCCGCTACAAATATATTTGTCAATATAATTAGAATTTCTATTAGAAACAGAATATTTTTTTATTTACAAAGTAGATTGGTACGGGGTGTCAAGAAGCTATTATTAATTTGGATAAAAACGAAGAGAGGAGATTGAATCGTTTATCTCAGCTCTTACCCGATAAGTCTTACAAAACCTTTGTTTCGATTAACTGTCAATTAAGAACAATATGTCAATATAAAGATATGTCAAATTAAAGATTTGCTTTTGTTGTGCACGGACCAATTGTCTCATATAAAATCAAGCGAGAAAAATACTGCTCAATTAAAAATCAATTACGACTAAGTATTTTCTTCTCTGTAGAAATTGAAAAATATATGTATAAAAAGATAGATACAAGATCACAATTTTCATTTCCAGTGTAAAAATTTAATGCAATATTATCGGTTGAGGGCTGATCGCATTGTTTAACGATTGTCTCTCTGTGTTCCAACATAATAGTAGATATTCCATCGATCGTTCCTCTTTATAAATATGAAAAAAAAAAAAAAGAAAACAGTACGCAACGCAACGCAACGCACGCACGCATGATTCCGACTCGAAACCGCGAGCGATCTCACTCTTTTCTGCAAAGTATACGAAAGTAAACGCGCGTTCTAATGTTTGCCTCGTATCCTCGAAAAAAAAAAATGAAGGCAAGAAAATCGGAGGCACTCCACACACCAAATACTCGCCTACGAACTCGCGCTTGAATATTTTTTTACAATTTTATGGCCTAAGCATTCGGCGTCGTGCCGAAAATGTAGGTACTCTTTACGGGTTTGCGCGATCGACTCGGATCGATCGTGATAAATTAATCTAATGACGATAAGGGGGATTAATATAATAAAAGCGAGTCGCTTCGCGGGAATATAATTTTTTCGTGTGATTCTCGATAATGATAGTATCGATGGTCCTGGAAATCGTTCGCGAAAATGTTATCTGACAGTAAACGTTTTTTATCTCTCAAAATTATATTAATTATATTTATTTTCCTTTCTTCATATATTCTGTCATTCTGGATTTTTTTCGTTTTTTTCTCTTTTTAATTATTCCTTTGCAAACAAAGATCATGAGCGAAAGTTAACGGAAACATCTCAACCGTTGCAGTTATCGTCCCAAAACGTATTATTCTACAAGCAAGTTGCTACAGTTTTTAAATCCGCGATGCATCTTATTGAACATTCACCAAGAGATCATCGGCAATCATTTCGTCACGCGTTTATTATGTATACGGCTGCTAAAACATGCGTGCGTGCGTGCGTGCGTGCGTACCTGTTTATACGTAACGATCAATCTTAAGAAACTAATTAACGAATAAATATAGTTAAACTTGTCGTCACCATTGTGATTTAAGATAGTAGAGATACCCGCGCAAGTTCCTCGATGGTGCAGGTGCAATCGATGATGCTTTGTTCAGATATTAAATGTCATAAAATGGCAGTTAATTTAACAGAATCAATGAATGAAATCCTGTGATTCGAAGTGATTTGTACAACATCGCGGTGCAAAATAAGCTGCCAATTAACAGATAAAAATTGTATTTTCACATAAATGAAAATATTATTTAATTTAAGACTAAATAAGTATTTATATCTTGTTTCTTTGCATTATACTCTGTTTATCAAATCTGATATCAAAACCTGTTTGTGCATTTCTATTTTTTACTATTAATCTAAAATCTTATAAAACGATATATTGTATAACTTGCATCTGCATAGAGAGACTCTCGCCGGGAAAACGTTTACCTGTTTGTATGGCCAAAGTCGTCATTTGTCTTTGGCACGATAAAAGTCTTAATAAAGGTTTCATTAAAATATTCTTCGTAGAACAATATCTCTCCTTGTCCATTTTATTGAACTGTCCATATCTCACGTGGCATACGCAATTTCTCTTTGTAAATCTGTAAATTACATACGCTTTGTAAATACAATATCGATTTGAGAGTAAGATCACAGACACTGTTAATTATTTTGCATTAATATAGGATTTTACATAGCTAACAATAAGTTCAAATCAAAGACCCTCCCATGTCTATTTTAAAATTAATAGATTTTCACACGTTTCTGCGTTACGTGATTTTCTATAAACAGTTTAGCTATAAAACGAATAACATTCCACGTGCAGTTACATCCGCGGCCGCTGCAATTGATGCCAGTGATGGCGTTGGCCTGCTCCCCTTCCCCGATCTCTTTCCACCACCGAGTGGAGCAACAGCGATGGCTGTGTGGGCGACGGAGAGCGGAGCCGCGTCAGTGCAAAGGCACGAGCTGCGCTGCCAGGTTTGAAGACGACGCGACGCGTCGTCGTCGCTCGGCCCCATTTTATCTTATCGTTTCTCACATTGTTTTTATCTTTACGTACGTGAACGTCGGTCGTTTTACATGAAATTTAGAAAATTTTTGGAGCCGGCAATCTAGCTTGAATATCCCAAAAATGTATTCTGAAATGCGCAGCTCCACGAGGAGGAGGAGAAAGGAGAAGGCCTACGGTCGCAAACTGTGAAACCTACGGTCGCATTCGCTCATTGTGCCTTTGTGTGCATGTGCGCCCGTCAATGTGCGTGTGTGTGTGTATTCTACGATGGAGCTCGCGCGCGCGTCTTTCTCCGCTCGTTGCCGCGCGCGCCAAGTGTCTCTTTAACTCATTAATTCTCTCGCGGCCAGCACGTACTAGGCTCTTATTTCTCGTAAACCACTCGTCTATATCCTGAAAATTTCCATCGTGTTAAAAAAACAATCCAAACAATTAATTATCTAATGTTTTTAGACTTCAAGGTATAGAATCGACATTTATTTTTACAATTTTATGAAAAGTGGATTGTTAATTTTATCGTACCTTCTATGATTCATTCGTGTAGACGCGTAAGATTTTACGTTGCTAAATACGAAGGGAGAAATTGCAGACAACGTATGTTTAACAATGAATGAGAACGCAAGTAATGAGTCACGTGCTAATGAAAAGAAATAGCGTGAACCCACATCGTGAACGGAATATAAATGAATGATCGAGAAACAGATCCCGCACATAAGTTTCAAAGAAACTCCAAAAGAAAAAAGAAACAAAAATGTTGTGATTTTTTTTTTTACGTGAGTTTACTGCGTGCAAACGGGAGTGGTAATTTGAGAAAAGAAAGAAACGCAAGAAGGCACAACTGGTCTGCGACAGTGACAACGACAAGGTAGGTTTTTGACCTGTCACTAACGGGGAAACAGCGGAACTTGTCCTCGCGGCTACCGTGATTCTTCAAAGTACTCGATTATACACCGTTCTGAAAGAGGAAATATATATAATTTTTACTCGTACGAAGGACGTGCGAAAGAATCTACAATTCTTATTTTTATCTGTCAAGGTAATGCCATTGGTTCTTGCGCGCGGAAAACAAACTCCTTGATCATAAGCAAGACGCGAAAGCAGACGTTCACAGGTGTTTTTGAGAATAATTAATGTGACAATGTGTACCAAGTGACGCATTTTCCAGAGTTCCATTGTGGAACTCACATGATGTGCCAATAATTACATATTGATGCGATACTTTCTAAACGTTTCATAACGAGTTTCCGTATAGCAAATCGGTTCTTATAAATGTCTTTTTACTTAATCGTATAATTTATTATCTATAAAACAATTTTTTCTTTCTTTCTGATGCGTAATATCAATCATATTAAATAAAAATCTCTTTGGAAAATTATCAATTTATTTCGGATATCATTAAATCGCCATTAAGACTCTTATTCATTTTACCTCAATTTTTCATCTCTTACTTCAATATTAAGACTCTCTGTATTAAGACATTTCCTTATCTCGAGGAAGTTTTGACTTGTTAGAAGATAAGGAATCGCTTATCGTCTATACCGTAGATCTGACGAGCGATTCAAGAAGCTAGTAAATCTAACGATTAATTGTGAATCATGATTTTCGTTGAAACGAACGCGTCAGATACGCCGCTGCTTCATTTCTACGAGTCCTTATTCTATACTTTTCTCTCATGTTTTCCTTTAAAAAAAGAAAAAAAAATTAATAGATAACACACATAACTATAGAAAACCGTAAAAAACTCTGTATTTTAAATTTTTATTCGAGACTTACGAGATTCATTCTTTCATCCCTCGTATAATCGTTTATTTCATTTTAAATGCGAAAAGTGCAATCAAAGGTGATAGACATAAGATGCGATAATGCTGAATGTCTAGCATGAAATTACAGCATAGATATGGAACGATGTATGCGATATGCACTCGCCGCTTCAGTTGAAATAGCAGCCGGAAACTATGGGCGTCGGTATCGGCTTTCGGAATCGTGACTCATCCTGGGACAATTTATAATTTCCTTTCTGTTTGCGTCGCTCGTTTGTTTTGTCACGCGCTCAACAATTTGATTAATCCTGAAAGCGAATAATAAAGAGAGGCCCGGTTAATAACGACATTATGAAAACGCTCATTCGAGAATCTCTAGAAAGCGCTTTCCTTTAGGAGAACTTGAATTTCTAATAATAGAAAAGCAGAGTAAATATGCAGAAAAGAAAGAAAGAAAATATGTAAAAGTATTATGATAATATAATAATATGTAAAAGTATTATGATTACATGTGTATATTGTCCCTATCTCTGAAAAATGTATCTTTCAGTGATATGATAAGTTTAGTCATCAGCATAAAATTAGAATACAATTGGATGCGCTGATATAAGCAACTACTACTAGAATGTAGATTGAAGTCTGTTATATAGATTTGCAAAACGCAAAACTATAATATAATCGGCTTGATAACTTAGCGCTAAGCACCTCGCTGAACCAACCGTTTATGCCTTTGTCCTTATATCACACTGTGTATGACAGTCTATAACATATATTAACGCACACTGGTGCATCCAATTAAATTTGTTATTAATCTCACAGTACAATTTAAACAATGAGACAAAAATGATTTATGTATCATAAAGGTATATTGTAGAATGTTTAACTTGTAGCACAAATGCGGGATTGTTAAATGTAACGACTACTAACTCTGTTTAAGTATATTTAAATAACCCGCATCAACTGAAGAAAAGAATCTCCCATTCAAGCTTGCATCATTACGAGAAGTCAGAGGAACTTTTATGTCTTAGGTTCAATGGGTTAACGTCGAGGAGTACGTAAAGTTCTTTTACCGGAGTGACCGTGAAAGACACAACTTCCACGATGGAGGTGAAGCCGATACCGAAGCCGCGATCGGTAATGACTGAGAACAAACCGATACCGGCGCCTCGGAGAATCTTGCCGACGACTACTTCGCCAACGGCTCGGTCCTATAGTCCGACCAGCGAGTCTAGCCAATCTGAGAAAAGTGACGATTTGAAGTCGACCAGCGGCAACGAGAGCACTCGCAGCAACCACGAATTTTTCCGCAATCTCAGCACGAGCTCGCGTCAACTCAAGGACGAAATCTCAGAAAAGATGACGGTGAAAGGACGTGCCGTTATCTCTAGCACGCGAAACGCCAGCATTCGACTGGAGAAATCGGTGAAGAACCTATTGACTCGACGGCTGTCATCCGTAAACCAAGATGACGTGGTCAACCAGAGCGGCGTCCAGAAGAAGCTCAAAGATCCAGTTGAAGAGGACAGATGCGTATCCATGCCAGCCGATAATATCTTCAGCAGCATTTCGTTTTACAGTCCTTTAAGTGGCAATCTGAGGAGCGTGAAGAACGAAGAAGATCTGTCCGTCGGTGGTAGGCACAGCCCGCCGCCTCCGGTTTATCCGCCACCTCCGCTTCCGGACGAGTCTATCTATGACGAATTGCAGTCCGTCACATCGGGAAGTAGCGGTCGATACGACACACTGAGTTCCACGGTATCCGACAAGATCGAACGGGACTTTTCAGATTTCAATGTCAATTTCGCACGAAATCAGGTAAAATTATTTTATCTTTTTTTCTCACTCTCCTCTCGTGACTGCAATGAAAAATTATTATTGTCATTCTGATGCTATTATTTTCAATTATCGACAGAACCGATTTTGCTTTTTTGTCAAAATTAAGATGCTAATAAAAATTAAGATTACTCTGTTTAATGGATAAGTAAATAAATAAATTTTATCTTCCTTACATCTTTCCTCTTTACAAAGGCTAGCGATTCGGACCAGAGTTTAAACTTATCCGACGTCAATGTAAATTTACCACTCGACAAGTCTGAAATCTCCGTTAAAAGACTATCGAGATCTGACTCTTGGACCTTTTATGATACAACACCTGGTACGAAAACTGAGAATATCGATGAAGTGGACAGAATATCCAGCGTAGAAGAGGAAAACTTGGAGAAATCCCTCGAAAGAAAAATTTCACCGGTGGATCGAACTTCTTGCGCGTCCATCGAAAGCCACGCATCTATCCAGAATTCTCTCTATGAGAATCTATCACCGCCGAAAATCGATTGTCGGCAACAAACGACAACGATTCCTTCGGATACTAGAGTACAGAACAGCAAATCCGTGCTCTTCGAATTCGATCCATTTGCAAAAACGTCCGAGGACGAAAATGTTTATAGCAATTACGAGAACAACGATCTGATGCTGTTGGAGACTTTATTAGCTACAAATGATTCGCCCGACAGCACGCTGGAATTTCGCGAAAGTGCCAAGGAGGAGCAAGAGGAGGAGGAGGAATTAATACATCCTGGCATTAGTTTAATACCCCCGGAACCACCCAAGAGATTTGATTCTCTCCCCAAGAACGAGTACGACGTGGCGGAAGGTATAGAACAACCAGACAAGGTTCAACCCTCGAGCAAGAATCCACCTCTCTTACCGAAGTTGGCGCATTTAGTGACTAAGAAACAACCCGCTGTTCCTCCCAGGAAACCTTCTAGGGGTCCTGCGCTTCCTCAACCGAATGCGAGTACGATCATAGCAACGACGACAACGACAACAACAACGACGACACTTGCCAATAATGAAGAAAATGTTACGAATCCTATGTCGGGAACATCGAGACTTTCAGAAGATTCTCGCAAAGTGAGTGTGATACAGAAATTGAAGAAACTGCGACAGGACTCCACAGTGCAAGCTATCAAGCCTAATGTGATCAATTTCGTTAAGAGTAGTAGTAAATTGTTATCCAGGACTCGCGAACACATTGGTGAGTCCGGTTCGAGGTCACTACGAATGGAGAGGCCGAAGGTGAATGCTCCGCACAATCCGGTCACACACAGGGGAATGGTATATAGGTAGGGGCAATGCTAACTTAAGCGTGAAACATATTTCACGAGCTTCCGATTCCAAAAATTTGTTTTACGAAGATAAGATGAACAGTTGCTTAATTTATTTTTAACAATCAGATCAATCGAGATTTAGAAAAATTAAGAAATATTCAGAAAATATTCAACGAAAAACTTTTCTCGTAACTTCTAAATTTAAAATTATGCCACTTTAAAAGTTATTATCGTTAAACATTTTTAATAAGTGTTTAATACAAAATATATTAAAAAGATATATATGTATATAAAATATTAATAAAAAAAGATTTCGAAAATTTTTCTTAATAATCCATTGTGATTTACTTTGATGTTTTTTAAGTAAACGACTGCATTGATTAAACTATTAATTAAAAATATTGTTATTTCTCCGAAGGCCTGGAATGGGTATCGAGAGGGCCAAGGATCTCGTACCGAGAGCAGCAGTGTTACTCGATCGGAAATTATCGTTCTACGCTGACAAGAGCATGTCTACACTGAAAGAGGTCGTCGAATTAGAGACAGTGCACAGTATTCATCTGCTTCAGGATGTTAAGTGAGTCTGTTATTTTACTGCATAAACACAATATGTGTCGTATAGATTGTAGCAATTTGGAACATCTTTTATACGTCTCATTCTGCAGAACGAGAATACTTTTGTTCAATTATTATTCAATCATCAAAATTATTTTATGATTTTATCAGAATAAAGTCATCTCTTAAAATAATAAACCTATTTATTATACAGGAAAATTCAAATATCTCACATTTTTTTCGGCTATGAATATTGGAAAATATAATTTCAATTTAAATTCAGTAGCTTATCATTGGTCATAATAAAGTGACTCACTCGTTTGGCATACATTTATAATGATCCAACTTCAAGTGTTAACGCCAGACAAACGTTCCCTCAGGGTTACAGCTCTCTTTCTCTTTTATTCTACGAGAAAGGTCTCAAGGTCCTCTTTGTTAAGCGAGAAGAAAAGAATTTCGTGAGAGAAGATCGTCTTTTTCGAGTGTAATCTGTGATAATAATTAAATTAAATATATATTATAAATATATAAATATCACAGATATTTTAAAATATTATTCAAAGTAAAATAAAAAATATAATTTATATAATATAAAAAATATATATAATTATATACAATTATATTACATTGTATAGATATGCGATGATCAGCTCTTCTAGCTTTAACTTTTCCTTAAGAAATCATCAACTACTGGTATAACAGCGTGATCCTCAAATGCGCAGTTTTCTTCGCCTCATGCGTCGACGCGTTTAATCTGTATTTAACGCTATGTATCTTTCCTTCCCTTTGACTCATCATACGATTGGCGCATCATATGCGGCTAGCTCGTCAGCTGGTCACTCGCGATTATTTGATGAAGGTAATTTCGAAATGTATGTAGAACCATGGATGGCGAGACGGTGCATTGCGTAGCGATTAGCACTGCGGGCAGACCGAGTGTGCATATTTTCTACGCGAAAGGTGTCGCCGAGAGAAGAATCTGGGCTCAGAGAATCCTCGAAGCGGTCACGCCGATCTTTTCCACAAAATACACCGCCGAATTCACCAGGGCAGGTTGGGCTTACTTAAAGGTATATATAAAAAGACAATATATCCTTTAACAAAAGAAAAATAATATTGTCACAGTTTTATAATAAAAATATCATAACTTCTTTTGAGTGTTACAATTGATCACTTTTGTATCTATTACGTGCTAATGTTATGTGTATTAATTTATTGTAATACATTTGCAAGCCTACCTCAGTATTTTAAGGTATGTTGAATTTAATATTTCTTTGTCAATATTTTAATGTATTTTTTTTCAATTATAATTGCGGATATAACAATTAGAAAATTATTCAAGATAGAGTCCTTTCATCATAAAAATTTGTAATAGTGTGTACTTGAAGGTTCCATTAGCCGTATTAATTTCGTCGCTTAATATCTTGCGAGATTCTAAATATAATGCTGTTAAAGTGTTTGCGACAGCGAAAACTTATATGCTTTGACATGCAAATTCTTCCTCTACAGTTTCGTCGGCATACTTCCATTGTCATTGGCAAATTGTTAAACTTCTTTCATCATTGACGGAATTTAAAAACATGAAACGTATCTTCTCTTTTTTTTTTCTCTGTACGATTATGATGTATATTATACTTCTTTAGGAAGGTGTAACAGGAACGTGGTTTCCGGCTTGGCTTCTCTTACAACAAAGAATGTTAATTTATACAAAATCCTTGGAATCTGCGTTTGCTGTGAACTTTGAGCAAGTGGACCTGCGGAAAGCACGCTGCATTGGTAAGTTATAAATAAAAATTTAAA